ATTCCAAATCTCCCAAATTTTCATCTCCCCAAATTCCAAATCCCCCAAATTCCAAATTTCCCAAATTCCAACTCTCCCAAATTTCCATCTCCCCAAATTCCAAATCCCCCAAATTTCCATCTCCCCAAATTCCAAATATCCCAAATTTCCATCTCCCCAAATTCCAAATCCCCCCAAATTCCAACTCTCCCAAATTTCCATCTCCCCAAATTCCAACTCTCCCAAATTTCCATCTCCTCAAATTCCAAATCTCCCAAATTTCCATCTCCCCAAATTTCAAATCTCCCACATTCCAAATTCTCCAAATTTCCAAATTTCCAAATTCTTAAATTCATAATCAGTACACACAGTCCACACAATATTACCACTATCATAATCCTATCAATAAACATTGAAAATCCTATCAGTAAAATACTATCAGCACCTATACCTATCATACGTATCAATATACCACAAAATACTCAAATAATAAACATCAATATTCTAAACAACTTTCCCTTAAATCAAGCACGACAAAAAAAGAATTTGTCAGAATTCATTTACAGAGAAAAGAGAGCTTGTACAATGGCTGTTAACAATCGGTTTTCAAAGCGTTAACGACCTACCCCGTAAGTTATGTCGAAATAAAAATAAAAGGATCTGCGATACGTAACTCATGGTTGCCCATGGAACATTTACAATCAACGTTTTCCTCGCTCGCATATTGTAGCATGAAAGCAATGAATTTACGAGCGTGTGTTACGTTTTTCAGCAGCCCTCACAATACCGGCCTGTTATACGAGACCGCGATCGGATCGAACGGTTAGTAAACTCAATAATTACGTCTTTGCACGCTGTATTGTGCTTCTTATTACATACTGCCAGAACGGTGTGAATAAAAATCATTAATGAAATTGACACTGGCTCGATTACACGTAATTTACAGCTGCTGCGATCGACGGGGAACCGGTAGTTTCGTATTTTCCTAGCTCTTTTTGCATATGAACTTTCAATACATAGTTAGATAAATTCAATGTATATCAGATAAATAAATCAGCTATTTACTTATAATTTTATGACAGAAATTTTTGTGGTATTTATAATGAGATAACATTTACAAACTATGCTTCAAATTTACAAGTTTATAAACATTCAGATTCTATCATTTTTAAATGTACAATACATTTAAGCATATCAGATAAATAATTCAGCTATTTACTTCCAATTTTATAACAGAAATTTTTGTGGTATTTATAATGAAATCAGATAATATTCACAAAGTATGCTTCAAATTTATAAATTTATAATTATTAAGATTCTCTAATCTTTAGATGTACAATACATTTAAATTACAAGTATTAAAAGTTCATTTCTGGTATTACAAAGTAAAGAGTCAAATGTAATTGTGGGAACGTTAATAAAATATTTACATATCGCTCTCCGCGTGGTACATTTTGTATAGTCTTGAACGATAAGATCCATGCGATCATTCTACGAATTAAGGACCTAAAGATGTATCTGAATAGCGATAACATAAACGATCGCTGTAAGTACGTGTACCTTGTCCCAATTAAAATTGATTATAAGTTCGGACAACCTCTTGATATATAACAGAACATCGTTTAGAGTGACATTCCATTGACATAAGACTCAAGAGTTTTAGCGGTGTACCGATGAGAAATTTTTCAATTATAAAGCTTGATCTCTCATAAAGCAGTTTACAATTTGAAGAAAATTTGATATAATGTTGTACGAAGTTTTCGTCCACAGATCTTCAAGGTGTTAATTGAAGGAGTTCAACAGCAATGTAGTCCAGAGTTTCACACGAGCAGCCAAGGTAACAAAAGTATTGTCTTTCGGGTATAATCATGGCCGGGATTAGAGCAGACACCGAGGCGTGCAATCCGCTGCTCGTGTTTCCTGCAGCTACAGATCACAAGGAGGAAAAAAAAAGCATCCACAGTATTGTTACTACGTAGGGTCGATGGAACTGCTAGGTGGCATCTAATGAGAAGGAGCGGACAATGAGCCTTTCTAACTTAAGTGCCCTGGGGTGAATACCGGAAGGGTGCTGCTACCACCACCCTCCTTATTTCATTCATTTATTCTCACGCCTGCTTCGCGAATCAGACAAGTTATCTGACGAAGTGAGCTCTCCTCTGAATGACTCCTGTGATTTTATAAATATTTGGGAACCTGCGATGACAAACGTTATTTGTATAAATTTAACAAAAACGTTTAAACGGCTTGAAAAATTATTGCAGTCTCTTTATTTTCATCTTTCACTGTTACAAGGATAGACAGGGATTGAAAATAAATATAAATATCAGTTTTTGTAAATAATATTTATATGAATAAGATTTACTTTTAAAATTAACACTGTTTTACAAACTCCCGGAATTATTAAATAAACAATATAATAAACTGAATAAATTTATATTAAACCGAGTAATAAATAAGTTGTAATAATTCATTACAACTAAAATAATATTTATTAGAACTAAATTCTGTGCTGTGACCTTTTACCTACTTTCTATTGAAATCTATAAATCTGTTAGAAACAAATATAGAACTATTAATTTATACCTTTTTTTATTACATCATATTACACTGTACAATCATATAAATGGTAGTAATAGAAGATGATTTTTATCCAATTATTTTGATATTCATTTATACAATTAGTACATAATTTAATTTAAATGTTTTAATATATTGATGTGTTTTTAAATGTGTATTTTTTTTTTAATAAAAATAATCACTCTGTATATCGATGAATGGTATACAAGTATACATGCTTAGGTTACAAGTTAGATGTTCATTAAACTTTGAGCTCTACTCATACAAAAGAAATTCTGTTTATTTCAACAAATTTACTGTTTAAGTAAATCTTGCACTTAAATATTACATTATTTTGTTCTTAAAAAATCTATTAATTTATGAAATGTTTGTTTCGTTATTAACAATGTTAAAACGCGTTTGAGATTTTTGTTTGTGTTTTGAATTTGAGAGAAAACAATAACTGTAAAGTGTTTCAATTGTTTAATTCTATTATAACTTAATCACATAAAAAAATGTACAATGAATGTATGACTTTATTCTATACCTTACATTAGACAACTCTTCTGACTTCAAAGAATCTTTTTAAGTAGAAAATTTGTCCTATTGTCATACAAACCAAAATCATAGCTTCAAAGCACGCCCACATTACTACACGGAAATTTGTGCTTTCACTGATTGCTCTATGATTTCTATCACGTACCTGATAACAAAAAATCAATTTTATCACAAATTTTTAACAAATACATAAGTATATATTAATTACAAGAAGAAAACCACTAATTACATGCATATATTCTTGTTCGTTCTTCACTCCCCATAAACTCGTACTTAATTCTTTAATCATATCGTCTATTTTATTATGATTTGCATCCTCTCCACCTATGCCATCTGATGTTTGTTCCATAGGCTTTTGATTCTCACCAATGTCCATATTGAACATAACAACTTTCGGTGTCATACTGCTTTTTTGATTACCAAAACAATATGTATAAACACCAGGAAGATGCGCAGCGAATGTATATTTACCACTGCTTTCTTGATCACCTTGATAAATTATTTTTCCATCGGGTCCAATTATTTTTACATCTATATCTAAAAATCCACCTTCTGCTATTTCAAATGTGAGACCTATCAACAACATAAATTCATACACATATTATATTTAATATACATATATACAAATACTTCATAATAACAATTACTTTCTTACAATCTTATTACATACATGTTCAATAAACTTAAAAGTATCAAATATTTAAGTTAGCATATGGTACATGTTAATCAATTAAATAATATAAAGTACATTAGAAAAATAGTTATAAGTTCATTGCTAATGTTTCTATTAATAATGAATTTAATAGTACAAGTCATAAAATATACTTTATTTGTTCATAACTAAAATACTTGTTAATTAATGCTTACTAATTTAACAACTTAAGAAGTATTTGCTAAATTCAATGTATTTCATTTATTGAAATGCTTATTACAACTTAATAACAAGTTTACTTTAGTAAATAACTAAATAGATATTGTAAAAGCATTATTTATAAGATATTTTGTTATCTTCAAAGTTTGCGATAGACATATAATTATTGAACAGAAACTTCTTCGTTAAGTCCTATAAATATTTGTTTTAGAGCTCTGTGTTCTAAACTCGCTGCGAATAACACTTTTAAATGTTACAATATATCTAAATTGAATAAAAATTATAACATTAATGATAAAGAAACTATTTTGTCTGAGTATATCTTTGAAAGTAAATAACTACTCAAATTAAGATGTAATCTAAAATACAGAAACAAGTTTATTGAAGTAATAAATAATTCTTTAAAAATTAAAGTTCGTTATATTAAATGATATTTAAAAATCCGCGCAAGAAGAAACTAACCCATTTTTGTGCCAGCTTCCACTTTGTCAAAGAAACATTCTTCAGCATGTGCATCCACAGTAATGAAATAGCAAGTTGCACTTGAGCTCAAATAAATTAAGAACAAACACGAAATAAGCCACCTCATTTTATTAAATTACAATGCGAACCAATTAAAAACAACATACACTCTTTCCTTCTTCTGCCACTTCACAGTGGCATGTTACTACAACAGCGCCACGTATGCACTTTGCCGTAGAATTATTGGCAACAATAGATGCGAAACCTATCTTTTAATTTCATAAATGATTGCAAAATTCAATTACGACATATACATATATATTTATATCGTTACTAATCAAATGTTGCTAGTAACAATTGCGTTAGCTATACATTTATTGCGTGATGTAATAAATTCTAGTTATAACTTATTCAAATAAAGCTAAGTGTTACATAAACATATAAAAATAAGCGGTATACATAAAATTGTAATATCACATAGTAATTGTAACAAGTTTAGTGCAAATTGATGATTAATAAACTCAACAAATAAGGTTTTATATAACTGTATAATTATACTAGTCCTATTACAGAGTTGTTTTATTTTATAACAAGGTAAATACAAATTTAAATTTAACCTAAAGTGTCTAATAAATCAGTATATATTAATATATTATACTTATAAACTACAATAAGTTTTATTCATATAAATGTATAAATTTATCTCGTAAATTTTTTCCTTTTATGTTCTTTCAGTGTCCTTCCTTTCTCTCTTGTTTTAACTTCTTCTTCCTTGTGTCTTTTAATTAAGTTTCTTCGTGTATTTTCCTTTACTACTCTCTCTTATTTGTACTACTCTTCAAATTTTTATTTTATTCCATTATTTACCTTCTTTTTCTTCACTTTGCTAGAGGGCGTTCCTCTCCTACCAACTTTTAGGTTATATTCTTCACAATTCCTTTATTTCCTTGTTGCATACTTCATTAATTTATTCTTAAATTTACGTTTTTTAGTTCTAGCCTATTGTAAATTAATCTATTATCTTATGTCCAAGTCTTAATATTTTTTAATTCACATATCTATACTTTTTCCAAGGAGAGATCATACTTGTCATGCAAGTTTTCAATACTAAAAGTAATGCGCATGTGCTCTTACGATGCTTCGTAATTCAAATTTTCAAAATTTCAAGATAAATCCCCAAATTTTCGATTTTCCCAATACACAAATAATTAAATTTCCAAATTTTTTCATGCTTATTCCATACCTCTTCAAATCGTATATTTTATTTACAATGTATACGACCGGCAAAGTAATAAATATATGATAGCGATAAATGGTGGGGAACCTTCTGAAATTAGCAGAGTTGCGCAAATTGATTATGATCTCCCGTTGAACAAAGTATATCAGTTTTTTCCTCAGAAACACTGAAAAACACACTCACTTTATCTCATATGCGCCATCTTCACTCATTCAATTATAATAAATGAAACCGCTACATTGGAAACTGAAAACAGTGTTTTTGTATGAATAGCAAATACACGTATAAATAAATATATTTTAATACAATGTTTTCGAACAAATGTTGCATTAAACTTTGAATTATGATTTATGTAACACATATTACATATTCGTGTTCAAAATCGTAACATTAATTCAAAATATATTATTACCAGACATATTTATTTGTGGTTCATGGTTTACCGAAATATAACGAAGCAATGTTTTCAGAGGCAGCCAGAATGTTGTAGAAATTTTAAAGTATGTGACTGAAAATTATAATAATAAATCATTCATACATAAAATACAAGAAATATGAGTGGTATCTGCAACCGATATTTAATAACATCAAGAAATGTCTTCCTACAACATCGAAAACAAGACTTTATTACTTCACTTTTTGCACCTTACGTATTTTCCAATCAAATACGTAACAATTTTAATTCGTATGTGCCATATCAATAAACGCACGCATCTGGCTTTTATTTAAATGTTTTAATCGATTACTATTTTTCAAGTGTGATACCAGTAAAACTGGCATATATTTCCTATGAATCAATGAATGGAAACAAAAATGCTTTGAAACAACCTGTTATAGTAATGCATGGCCTTTTTGGTTCTAAAAATAATTGGAATTCATTATCAAAAGCAATTCATCAGCAAACAGATCGTAAGGTAGATACCTGGATTTTATTTTTTATGAGGAATACTTGAAATGAATTTATAGGTAATCACTATAGATGCAAGGAACCATGGAGATTCCCCACATTCTACAGAAATGTCATACAGTCATATGGCCCAAGATATAGTTCAACTTATGAATGATTTAGGATTTTCAAAAGCTACACTAATAGGACATAGTATGGGAGGTTCTGCAGCAATGTATGTAGCTTTAAATTATCCACAATTAGTTGAAAAATTAGTAGTAGTAGATATGTCTCCAGTGAGGACTAGTCCTCAGCTTATGGAAATGGAAAAAATATTTAAAGCAATGCGTACAGTAAACCTAGATGAGATTACAACGCTTACGAAAGCTCGAAATGCAGCAAAAGAGCAACTTGCAGCTTCCATTAAATCTTTAAGTCTACGTCAGGTAAGAATTTATTTTTTCTGTTTAACATAAATTATACAAATGTATAAGTATCCTGTGTTTGAACTAATAAATTTCATTACAGTTTTTAACAATGAACTTAGTAGAAGCAGATATTGGAAAATTTAAATGGCGGGTTAATTTACCTGTATTAGAACAAAATTTTGCGAGGCATATAGCTGTATTTCCAAGTGTAGGATCAAAAGCCTACACTGGACCAACATTGTTTATAGGAGGTTCTAAAAGTGATTATATAAAAGTAGAAGATCATGACAAAATAAAGCAACTGTTCCCTAATGCTGAAATTTTGTATATAAATGGTGCTAATCATTGGGTTCATGTAGACAAGCCATCAGAATTTCTAAAGATTACTACTAACTTCATTAAATGATCATAATTTATTGTCATCTTAAATGTAAAAAAAATACACAGCAAGTTTTGTAAATATATATACATATATATTTGTGAAATGTGTAACATTACATATAAAGTAAGAAAGAAATAGCAAATGAAAATATAATTGTACACAGTGTAAACAAATTGCGTTTTCCGTGCTTATTATGAATTTACAAACTGTAACATTTTTTTAGTCTCTTATTTTGTTGTTTCCATAAAAAATACATATTTCATATCTTCTCATTCAAAAAACATTTTATCAATATTAGAAAACAATTATAATGATAGCAATACTTCAATGCTTGAAAAATAAAATCTTTGGAGCGTATTTAATCGTTGTAACACAATATCCTTGTTTAATTATTATCTTCAATACTGACACGTTTAATAAAATATATAAATGCAGTTAAAAGCATTTAAAAAGTTGTATATAACTTTTTATTTAACACTAAAACTACCGGCATATAATGTAAACTTATTTTTAAATTGACAACAAAGTAGAAAAATAAATAAATAAAATATAAGATATAAATCAATATATATATTAATTCATTATCTCTATAAAAATGAACATACAACTTAGCAAAACATGCTAACAAATTTTATAATTAAAAATAAGAAATCTAAAGACTAGACATTATTTGATTAGTTTGGTAGTTTTAATGTTAAACACTAACATAGAACTTTAAAGAAATTGCAACTATAACTAAAGGAAAGTTAAATAAGCTAAATATTTGCTACTATTATCACAATCATTTTTCAATGTGCAAATTTTCTACTAATTTTACCTACTAAAGTACATCATGTGTGTGTCCACCATTGTATGCATAATCTGCTTTATTGTGCATTACCAATTGATTGTCCACAAAATAAAATGAATCTGAGCGAGTTTCAAAGGGATTTGCAATCATTTCAGAGACTGTAAAATCATTTTTAATACTTATATAATAAGAATCTAATGTTATAATTATTAAACATTATAAATCATTGAATAATTATTAATTGCTTACCCAAATCAGCAGGCAAGGTCGGAAATTCATAAATATGTTCGCAAGTATTCTTACTATTCGGTATACAAAATCCAAACTGAAAGTCAAAAGTTTTTAACAATCTATCCCGGAAAAAGTGACGTTCAATCATACGAAAGTTATTCACTGGCTTAGAACCGACAAGAAATTCAATCGTAGCTCCAACAGTCTTCAGTTTAAGAAATTGAGGTGTAAATTGATAACGTACAAAGCGACCAGTGTTAGCATCTTCACAACCAGATTCTTCACAATCTGGTTCAATATCTTGATTAAGATCAGATTCTAAAATATGAATCACAATATTGCTTTTTTTACCTTACACCTTTTACCATAATCAATGAATTATAATAACTGCAACTAACCAGTAGCTGGCGGTTTTGTAATTTCAAATAATATTGCTCCTGTTTCTAAATCCCTAATTTGGAATCGTGTAAAATCTATATCATAAATATTTGCTTCGGGAGAGCATAAATATTCTGAAATGGATATAAATATTTAATTATTTATTATTTTTTTGTTACTTATCACTATGTTAAAAATACATTGTTATAACTTCAGCCTTTAATGAATGAGTAAGTGGAAGCATATATTGCATTGATTATCGTAAATTAAGTCTCATTTCTTAACTACGAAGTCGAAATTAAATAGGAGTTCATAAATCATTATCTTACTATCAGTAATTGTAGGCAAATGTAGCACCATTTCTGGGGTTATTAGAGTTTCTTCAATATTTCCATTATCGGCATTTTCCTGATCTGTCGACGGTGTAAATGAAACAATAGCTTCATTTGATTTATTTTCACTATCGACACTCATTATTTAAGCGTAATTAGACAATAAATAGACGATTAATTTATCAGCCAAATATAAATATCACATATAACAATTTCGAAGTATCGAATATAAAATGATGTTCATTGAATATTATTAAGTAAATTTCCACATATGTTAAAAAATTTTATCCGATATTTTCAACAGTAAAAATATCTATGTAATTGATGTTATTTCCATTGTATACATTTTGTGACATTTCTTAGGACCACGTAGGAAATAATATCAATCGTAAATAACCTTAAATGATACAAGATTTAGAAGAACAACTCTACAGCTTATCTATGATACTAACAAAAAGTAACTAGATGTTTTTTATAACCAGAATTTTAAATAATCATTTTTATTTACTTGGAAAGTGAGAACTAATATATGAAAATGTCTTAGTCTTTTACACATTATTACCAAATTTAATTAAATACTTTCATAAAAATTTATTTGAACATTTTTTTACATATTCAGTACTCTTTCATATCTTGCACCATTCAATGTTTATTTTGGTCAGGTCAGTTGACATTGTTATGAACCTAACCTCAGCTTTATGGAATCTGTTACGCTCTACATACTAATGAAGATTGTCATATATGATCAATTATTTCCTTTGAATCCATTTATAGATTAATTGTGTCACTAGTGACATTTAAGAATATCTGAATTTCTTTCATTTCATCGTTATTTTGTGTGTGTGATACACAAGTGACCATGTCTAATCAGTCACAAACATCTAACGAACCTTACCGTGAATTAGGTGAATTACATGGTTCTGAATTGAATATCAATTCAGAAAGTATATCAAGATGTAATAGAAATTTTGGAAATTGTGTTGAACATTCAATGGAACTGTCATCTGTAGTAATCCCAGATGGTAAATTATTTTTATAAAATACATGTTGATACAAAACAATGATACATAAATATGGAAACTATTCTAATATTTCTTAACAATATTGCTCACAATTTTTATGTACAGGGTAATCTGCTTAAACTTGTCTATAAAGGAGTGGGTAACTGTAAGTTGTGTAAATATGTTATTATGCATGGAAATATAACATTGATAGCAGTAGGAATGCTTGGATTTATACTTGTTATAAGTGGAAAATTTTCTTCGCAGAGTTCTTAATACAATGGTCTTTATGTTTACTTGGGTATGGACAAAAAATACTAATTATTTTATATAGTGTTGTCTTGAAAAGTAACCATAGCTTCTGACTAAAGATGAAAAATTTTAAATACAGAATACATATCTCTTATTTGTTATGTTCAGATGAGAAATAACTCTTAACGCTTGCTCCACAGAATCAGTTGCAAGAATTAGTAAGGACATGATAGCTAATGTTTAAGATAGAATCTTGGTCACCTTTTGAGATAATACTACAAGTGCATGTAAAATAAAGAAGAAATACATGAAATACTTATTTTGATGTACTACTGTATAATATAATTAACAATTAGACAATCGCACAATAATATTGTTGTTAATGCAATGCTATGAATTCTATGAACTTTAAATTCTATAACTCTAAATGAGCTTGAAATATTATTGCACTATTATATATATACTCAATCGCTTTGGCATCCAGTTAATAACACAAAAAGATATTTATACCAATCTTTAATTACAAACTAAAAATTTGTATATTTATGGGATTGACATAAGAAAAATGATATTGTATTGATATATTTACGTAATAATATAATAAATATTGAATCACATGAAATTTTGTAAATAATTTTTAATAGTTTCTCCTTTATTTTTTATTTAAAATTTGATATAAATAATTAAACATATTATAAAGTATACATAGCTGGTTTGTTTTAAAATTTAATACATCTTTTAATGTTAATTGACAGATACATTTACTGTAATCCAAGCAATCAATGCATTAGGATTTGGTAAATTTCAAGTTAAATTGTCTTTATTTACGGGACTCTGCTGGATGGTAGACAGTATGGAAATAACAATATTAAGTATTTTAAGTCCATCATTACATTGTGACTGGGGTATAACTAGATATCAGCAAGCTTTAACAACTACGGTACCTTTATTTAATAAATCAGTTATTATCCACAGATTCTGTACAAAAAGTTTAATGTAATACATTGTTGGAATTATTTTAGGTTGTTTTTTTAGGTATGATGTTAAGTTCTACATTTTGGACTAATTTAAGTGATAGATACGGTAGCAAACAGTCATTGACTTTATGTGCAGTATTATTGCTTTACTATGCTTTTTTAAGTGCCTTTGCACCGAATTTTCTTTGGATCTTATTGCTTAGAGGATTAGTTGGTTTTGCTATTGGTTGTGTACCACAATCGTAAGTATTTGGTAAGTCCCATAACCAGCAAAACTAGTATTTTTAAACTAACTTCAAGTAACATTAGTCCTTTAATATTTTAGAGTAACATTGTATGCAGAATTTCTACCAGCAAAACAAAGAGCTAAATGTGTCATTTTATTAGATGTAAGTATAGTTATAAGTAAATTGAAATAATATATTTCTTATATACATAAAATAATTCCTTTTGTTATAGTGCTTTTGGGCACTTGGTGCCTGTTTTGAGGTAGCAATAGCATTAGTAGTAATGCCAACTTTTGGTTGGAGATGGCTTCTCATTTTATCCACAATACCACTTCTTGTATTTGCTATTATCACTCCAGTAAGTAATCTAAAGAAATAATATAATCAAAATTATACACTCCTCTTATAATATATTTTAATAGTGGTTGCCAGAATCTACAATATTTGATATGACAAGTGGCAGAATGGACAAAGCGGTTTCAACTTTGGAGCGGGTAGCAAGAGAAAATAAAAAACCTTTACCGCCAGGAAGACTGGTTATGGATCGCTTTTACCAAGTTAATCATGGTAAATTAAAAGACGTCTTAAGTAAAGAAATGTGTAGAACATCTACTTTACTTTGGCTTGTGTGGTAAATATTTTAATTTCATTTATATCTTTCTCACTTATATGGTTGTATTGTTATGTATTAACATGCATAAATAATGGTAAAACTATTTTTAGGATGAGTACAGCGTTTTGTTATTATGGTGTAGTATTAATGACTACAGAACTATTCCACACATCATCTGAACAATGTAGCTCTTGGGAAAACAAGAAAGAAGATACTTGTCAATTAGACTGTAGTTTGGAACGTAGTGATTATATTGACCTTCTCTGGACAACGTTAGCCGAATTTCCGGGAATTTTTTCCACTATTTTTGCAATTGAAAAAATTGGTAGAAAAAAGACAATGGCGTTTCAGCTAGTAATGTTTGCTGTGTTAATTTGCTTTTTAGGCAGAGCTTGTCTATTAAGCAGAGTAGTATTGACACTTGCAATTTTTCTAGCTCGAGGTTTAATTGCTGGCGTATTTCAAGCAGCTTATGTATATACTCCGGAAGTATATCCGACACATTTACGTAGTATCGGTGTTAGTACTTGCAGTGCTATGGCTAGAATTGGTGCAATGGTTACACCATATATAGCACAAGTATTTCTTCAGTGGTCTATCACTGGAGCAATGGCAATTTATGCTATAGCAGCATTATGTGCTGCTGCAGCTACTCTCGCTTTACCTGTTGAAATGAAAAGTCAATCAGCAAATGATTCGTCTCACGAAACAAGATAAGATAAATTTGTTTTGTTTTTATTTTTCACTGATATTGTTGAAGTTGTTTAGAAAAAATATATATTTTCTTCGATATAATGGTAGTTTATCAGTGCATCGTTGTTGAAGTACTATTATATAATAAAACAAATCTTGTATTCGTTGATATACATTTATTTCATCTTTTTACAATCGTATAATTACATGTATACTTAATTAACATTTTATTGTTTGTTTTTTTATTAATTTTTCCGCATAAAATAATCGAATAGATTGCATAGACGCTACGTATCACATCATAAATTATTCAACAGAGATTTACTGCCGTTCGATAGTTATGTTAAATATAAATAATAATAATAATAGATTTTGACCTTTTGAGTGCTATAAATCCATATATACATTTCTAGAATATCGTTGTAACAGTTTATAAATTTATGCATGTGTTCAATACAAGCATTAATATAAATTCAAGATGCATGTTTAAACATTGTTTAATTTAGCTTAAATAAAAAAATATTTTATCTATAGCGGGCATTAAATTTAAAAATATTTCATACTCAAAAGGTTAAAATATGTGTATATATAAGAAATGTACAAAGACTGATACAGAATGTTAATTATAATACAACAAAAGTGCCAAAATGCACAAATGTGCAAAATTAATGTATACACATGATAAATTATATTTTTTACATATCTTGATATTATATGAATAACAAGGTAGATAAAGCCACAATATTAACTTTATTATTTAAGCATAAATACAGGTAAACAATATTATCTTAAACTATTCACATGATTTTTATCTTTTCAATAAATCTAATAAATATGCATGAAAAAATATTTAAAAGATTATTAACCCACAATGATTTTCATATTGTAAAATCTACAATAAATCTAAAAAAAACTATTGTAGAATATAAAATTGTTATCTGTCAATAAATTCATTGCAATTTAACCAAGAACATGTAAAGCTCTTTTTAAAATAAATGCTTGAAATATATCTCAAACAACAGTAAATAATGTAACACTTACAAATATTGGAAGTATTTTAAGAATTCTAAAATCTTGTATCTTTTATCATCCATTTTTTAAATTTTATACCCGATTGATACCTGATTGATATTTAAAATGATTATTACCATTTAACAGCATTTAGATATTATATAAAGTCGATTATTAAACAAAAAATATATTCCGCTATAAAATTCCTTCTCTTTTATCCCATTTAATATGTATAATCATGATTTAAATAGATTAAAAACTACAATTCGCACGAAAAGTAATTTCAAACAGGCTGAATAAGTGCTAGTAATTCTTCTTTCAAATACCCTGCGGATTCGGTATCTGCTGAATGCTGCCAGAAAAATACCAGAAGAGCAGCAGGAAATAATTCTAATTCCAGTAATGTTTTATCAAAGGAATCTTCATTAAACGTTGGTCCAGCTAACTTTTTTAAACAGAATGGTCTGTTTGCTTTTATCAAATTCTCGCTAACATAGTTAACTACATTCCGAAATTTTTCGTGGACTAAGAACGTCCCTTGAAGGATAAGATCATCTGGAAACTTTATACGAATCAACGAATACTTATACTTTCTGAGCCTCTGTTTTTCGTCTCTTTCTCTCATAGCTTTTGTTCTCAACATTTGGTCTTTTTCAACAGCTTCAGTTCTATCAATATTATTAAGATTATTAAATACTTTATATTTTATTTGTGATAAATAATTTAACATAAATATATTTACCGAAGTTGCTGCTCTCTTTTTATTTCCTCGGGAGTTAGATTGTAGAAATTTGGTGGAAGTTCGGTCCTCTTACTTGCTTGTGTAGGTAATAAAACTTGAAGATTTCTATCCAATTCAAGTGGAATGGTTTCTACACTTTTCAGTGCATCAGCTAGTTTTTCAACATTTTCAAGATTACAGTTTTCTGGACTCCAAACTAAGAAATCTTCTTCTACTTCATTATGTTGCATTTTTTTCGGCCAAAAACCAGCAGCATTTAAAAAATCTACAGCACCTTCCATTGGTAGTACTTTATCCTTTAAAATATTAATTTTATATTTAATATTTTGAGACTGTGTGCATAATAGAATGACGAGAAATTAATAAAAACATTCAACATTTTTACTCCATATAACTAAATAATATTCTACTATATTGGTCACTATAATAGATTTTTATGAAATAATTTCCCAATAATATAAAATATAATATTGTATATGTAAAAAGTTGAAAGTTTTCATTAAAAATTTTATCTATAAATAAGTTAATAAAATATAATATTACTTGGAATATTCGATTATGTATTCTAATTTTTCTGTATTTTTCTTCTTCTGGATTTTTTATAATATTATCTAAATATTTTCCAAGTGTTTCAATACAGCTGTCAATTTTTTCTTTACCAGTATTGCAATTCTGAATAATTAAGCAAGCTGTTAGCCCTGGTTCTTCTCCTTGTAATTGTTCATACAAAAATTCTCTAATCTTTTTCTTCCACTCTTCTTGTGATAATACTTCATTTGATAAATACGGGCATTGGAAATATACATTAGAAACAGCTAACAACGAACTATCTTTGACTGTATCTTTAGTTTCTTCTTTTGGTTGTGTCTTATTTTTTTGTATTTCCTCCTGTGCTTTCTTTTCTTTATCCAATTCTCGTTTCACCTGTGCTTTAATAGCTGCATATGACCTACAAACAATACATTTTTTGTCATTTAAATTTACTCAATTTAAATATAAAACATTAATATTGCTTCTAGAAATAACTTACGTATTAAATTTAGCTCCTGTGTTACTCTCTTTTGCTTGTAATCTGGCCAAAGCTGCTTGACCAGCTGTTTTAGCTTCATTTGTAGGTTCTACTCTTTTTATGGGTTCTACTATCCGAACAGATGTACCAATATTACTTGAATCTGTTAACCTACATAACAAAATGTTGAATTCAATATAATGTGTTATATGATTTAAATTATTTATATTCTTTACATACTTGTATCCTTTTCCTGCATTCATAAATTTTACATCTGCCTTTTTCTTTTGAAAGAAAGATTTGATTTTTTCTGACATGTTTATTTATTAGTTCAGTATCGTGATACGTTATAACTGATGAATCATCAAGATTTTTTTGTTAATTTTGTATCGCAAATATGTTTTAGTACATAAAACCTACGAAATAAAAATAAATAAAATTATATGTACATCTGTAATACATGTTAAATAAATATACTTACACTTGCAATTATCGTACTCAAGTTAATTATTAGATAACAATTATTCTCCAGATGAAGAGTCGAAATCCTCTGTTACAGATTCTGAAAAAGTTATAATATTTACTGATAAACATTATAACAAAAATTAATTTTTAATTTTGTACGTAATTAGCAAACATCTGTTAGAATATATCTTAGTACGAAATGTACAAAGATTATAATAAATATGGTAAGAAGATATAAATATAGATATAAGGAAATATATATTATATTACACTGTCATTCTTAATATTGGTACTAAAAATAAACATATTGTGTATTTACAACAATAAAAAGATTATAAAAGACCTATATAATTTGTGTCAGAGTTTAAATGTAAACATATATATAAGTGAAAAAATAAATTTCTTACTTGGTTCCATAAATTGTGTGGAAATTCTAGGGCCGTAAATATGCCAAGCAATTAAAAGCAGTGCCACGATACTAACAAACGTGAATAAGAAAATCTTCAACAGTTGCAACTGAAAGTCATCAAACGCTAATAAAGCAATAAATTCGTAAAAAAACCCAGATAATTTTTGTTGAAATTCATTATTAACGATGGTATCGGTCGAATGTAACGTCAACTCAAACGTTGTGGATAATAAGTTGACTAAATCATGTGTAAGTTTATTGATTGTTTCCACCAAATTTCCTACCCAAGACCACAAATTTTCATGTATACTGGTCATCACATGTGAAAAACTCTTAATTGGATATGAGTAAAAGCACTCTTTGTGTATCACTTTCTAATGTCACATTGCCACTTCATCATTCAATAGTTCAACTGTTCGAATTATTGCAATGTTGAGAGACAAAGTTTCAAAATGCAATGAAACTTCACTATTGAAAAAACTCCCAAACTTAACAAATATTACTAGATTCTCTATCTTATGCTGGGTCTACACTGGAACAAATATATATCGATGTTTGTCTTGTTAGTTTATTAAACTAGTATTAACAGATATTTTTCGATGGTTTTTTGCATTTATCTGCTTTGCACAGATCTACAATAACATACTACACAGATTATAATTTCTATTTCACTCATTACACTGATATAAATATAGTGTTCTCCGTTTGAACACTATAATGTAGTTCATAGTGTATCCACCAGGGATGTTAGTGATTTTTTATTTGAACATAAGTGTATATCTATGTCATATACTAACAGTGATTGTTAATGTTTGTACGAACAAGAAATTGCTAGGAATGTAAGATGTAAAATCTGAATTGTATAATCATAAAATTAATATCATACTTGATTCTTCTTTAATAATGGGAGGTGGAGATTTGGTAAGTTAATGTGCATTTTATATTAAAAATATGTTTTTTTTATAAATAAAATCATAGATTGATACATGTATACATTATGAAGAAAATATATTTAATAGAATTAAATATTTGTTAAGGTAGAATCTGAAAAAATCATGGCATCCATCTACTATGAAAAATATAGAGAAGGTTTGGAAAGCGGAGCAACAACAACATCAGGAAAAGAAAAAAATAGCAGAATTAAAGAAAGAATTAGAAATTGAGAAAGACAGAGAGGATATGAAAAAGTATGCAATGGAACAGGGTGTGATAGAAAAAAAGGATGACAAAAAATTAGATTGGATGTACAAAGGACCAAATCAATTAGTTAATAGAGAAGAATATTTACTTGGACGTCCAATTGATAAATCTTTTGAGCAACTAGCTCAAGCAGAAAAGGAAGTAAACCAAGCTAAAAATCATGTTGAACATGGTAAGTTATACTATTACTTTTATATGTATATGCTGTGTATATTTTTGTTTCATGCTTAATTTATCTATAACTTCAGAATGTATTCCACCATCACTGCGTTTCTTCTCTGGAAATGAACAAGTTGACTTGGCCAGAAAGATGCAAGAAGATCCTTTGTATGCTATAAAGAAGAAAGAAATGGAAACAAGGAGTCAGTTATTGAAAAATCCTGTTAAATTAAAACAACTGAGACAGTTGGTAAATAACAATATCAGTTAATCATGAATATTATTTTATGTATATTAGTTACATGTTACTAATTAATTACTAATTAATGTTTAGCTGGAACAGCAATCGAAGAAAAATAAAAGTGAAAAGAAACAGAAGAAGAAGAAAAAACATAAACACTCTGCAGATAGTGATGATGAATCACAATTGGACATGTTATTAGTTACTAAATACAAACAACTGAAAGAAAGGATTAATGATAAAGACTTAATAAAATCTATGAAAAAAGTCAAACATAAACGAAAAAAGAAATTAAAAAACAAACATGATTCCACTGATGAATCTGAAAGTAGTAGTGAAGAAAATTCAAGTGATGAAGATGTAAAAAAACACAAAGGAAAAGCAAGCAAAAGCAGAGGAGATATTGAAACTTGGAAACATGGTAAAGACAAGTATGATGTTGATAAAAAGGAAAGTAATAAACAAATATCTAAAAAACGTATCAGAAGTCGTAGTTCAAGTACGGAAAGTAATAGCAATTCAGTTCATAAAAGAAGAAACAATGCACATAGAAAAGACACAAATAAAACTGAAAATAAAAATTATAATTCAAGAAGTCCACGAAGTAGGGAACACAGTTCTCATAGAAACAAATATAATCACAGAAGCAGAAATGAAGATAAATATACATCAAGTAAATTACATCAAAAGGAAATAACGCATTCTAAATCACTTACTGATACAGTTCAAAAAAATTCAAAAGAAGAAAATTTAAACAAGGACAGATGGAATTCCAAAAAGAAACACACTCTTACAGAAGAAGAAAAAGAGAAACGTAGGCAAGAAATGATAGCAAATGCAACGTGGAGAGATAAGGAATTAGAGCGGAATGTTAAAAAATATCGTGAGGAAGAAAAGAAAGAGATTGATAGTAGTAAAGTATACAATCAAGACTTTGTTAGGAAACAATTGGCAGTTGCTGCAGAAGTTGGCACCGTTGCGTCCAGAATTAAAGCTAATATAAATAACATACAACGATCTGGCAGAGCAATGGATACAAACTTTGCTAAAAGATAATTTTAAATAACAATTAAATGTGTACAGTTGTGTAAAAGTTAATTCAGTTTTTTGTATAAAGTAGTACAGGATTGCAAGTGTTAAATATTAAGAAATATATTTTTTAACATAGAATAGCGTACTTTATCAATATAAAAATACACATTTTTAGATAGATTTATCATTCTTTGCAATTTCGATGGTTTATTTATATAAAAAAAACTTTTTTATCGGAAAAAATATACGTATATTTAAAAATGCAACAATACATTTATATAAATATAATTTTATTTACAAACAATGCACTATTTTAATAAACAACTACTATATATTACGCAATTTTACAAGTTTCACTATTTTCAATTGCATCATTAATGTCATTTATAGTTGCAAAACATCCTCCAGTGAGTACATTATTGACTATAGCCCTGGCAAGGTATCCCGTAGTTATTGAATAATGAGTAGAGAAAAATAAGGATTGATCAGCTGTTTTTTCTAAATTATTATCCTAAAAGAAATGTTTATATTTATAGCCACTAATACGAGTATAATTCATAACCATAGATAATATACATTTAATTGTAGATTTACCTTACAGAACATGAAGAAAGCGTCTTCAACAAGTTTATTAAGATTCAATTGTTTCTGAAAACTTAGTTCTGGATTTCTGAGTAAAATTGTTGACACAATGGTAAGTAACTGCAAACAGAAAGATTTTTAAATTTAAAAGTCTTTACATTTAGAAATTGAATATACTATGAGAATCGATATGATTCCAAAAATATTATAAATCCGAAATTTGATATGCTTATATAAATAGATAAATACCTCTACAATAATTTGACGATACTCAGGTAATTGTATATGATGGAGCAAAGATTCCACAAGTAAAGCAAATGTAAGTTCTGAACGGGTCATATTAGAAAGAGTAGGTTGTTGTGGCAATGCTTGTCCATTAACGCAAATACCGCCTGGACAACGCATCAAAACTTCCCAAACATGATTATAAAAATGTGAAGGTACTCTGCATAAGCATCCTTCAATTTTTCTACGCCCTAATACTGTAAGTCTATTTTAAAACAGTATATGTATTAATTTATATTATGAATTAATTAGTATCATGCATAAATGACAAATATTAAATCAACATACTTTTCATCATTAGCCCAATTTTTAACCGTCAATACTTTAATAAGAAATCGGCGAATTTCAAAAGGACTATAATTTTCAATGGGTTTGGGGTTTTTAACAAACATTTGCAAATAAAGTTTTATTGCTTCTAACACCCACCTAGAAATGTAAATGATATTTAATATAGTATTTTAAGATATTAATACTGTTTATCAAGTTAGATATGTACCCAATACGAATTTTTAATATTCCTTTAAACATTTCTGGATTTGTTCCAATCAGTCTACCACAATACAATAAAACTTCTTGCTGAAGTACTGCTTGTACCACATTATGTGGTTGAATTGTAGAATACATAACTGACTGAATTTCTGCAGGTGTCATTGGTTTATCAAAGACTGTTTCTTCTTGTCCAATTACTCCAACTGTAATCTATATTAATCATGATAAAAGTATTGCAATATTTTTTGAAACTTATAAATGTTTCATTAGTAACTTAATGAAACTACCTGCTTCCCCTTAACAAGGACACCCGTTATGAAAGGGCTAATACTATCGACAGTATGATTTAATAAACTACTACAGTAACGAACAACCATCCAATATCGAAGACAGCCTGCTTGTTGATATAAAGTTCGCAAGTAGTCACCAACTAGAATAACATTTTGAATAAAATAAAACTAATCGGATATTATATCTACATAACTTTCTAAGTCAATACCTGTCATTCCATTAATTTCATAATTAATACCCTCACGTTGCAACAAAATACCATAAAGTTGACATAGACTATAAAGATTTTTAGTATTGCGGATTTCGTTTAATATATTACATAGTGGTTCATTCATAAAATGCTGAAATATGAAATAATTAACATGGAGGAAAAAATACATCCTCATTTACTTGCAGATACTTACAGAATAATTGTCTACATTTTCAGTATAAGTTAAAGCTTTAGGTACATCTGTAAGACTTTGATATCCAATATAATCATGCTCTAACTGTTTAAACTGAGTGAGCTCAAGATCTGTTTCCATTGTATTTACGAAGTCCAAATGTTCTATTAAATAAACAGTTAAGTATGAATATTGAGTAGATATTGGCAGATAAAACTGAAAAGAGCTAATTACCAATGCATGAAGATGAAATAAGGTTTTGCAATCTACCAATTCGTACTTTTGTTTTATCACAATATCCTTTCTTCAACATAGCAAAAAGATCAAGCATTTCTTTAAATTGTGGATCCCTAAAATAAATGAAACTGTTAGTAATTTATAAATAAAGCAAGAATTTATCGTAGTTTAACTACAGGTTAATAAACACCTCATATGTTCTTCTCGTATTAGAAGGCATACAGTAGGTCGGCCGGAAAGTCGCCAATATTTGCCTACGAACTGGAGCTCAGTTTTTATATCATCAATCAATAGAGCCATATCTCTATATAAATAAAAGTCTGATACTTCAAATATCAAGGGATAACAGAGTACCGTCATACCGCATACTCTATAAACCTATCAAAAGAAACAATTTCAATTTCCTGTTTACGTTTTCCATTTAGCAGGTCAAGCATACCTTACTTGTACCCAAAGATCCAATTGGTCTAGCTGGACGACCTTGCAAATTTAACTTAGAATTCACTCCCAATTTTTCATAGACTTTTACTAATTGCGCAGATGACAATATCTGAACAGGTTCCACTTCATGTGGTGTTTGTGTCTGTATGCCATATGTTGCCATCATAGCTTGCAATCTCATAGACTCAGCAATAAGAACGATTTGTACTACAAGATCGGTATGAGTACCCTAACATAGAGAAATTTCATAATAGATAAATCATGCATTACTAATCACAGTAAACATATTACTAAAACTATTAACATAATCAATTTCCTTCTTCCTTAATGCATAAATACTTAATAAATCATAAATCTTACGAGATGTATACAAACTAAACGCTATACATATATACATTATGAAATTATAAAGAGTGATTAGGAAAGTAAAATAATAAAGATGTAGCAGTCGTCGTAAGAGAGTAAATTAAATCATGCCTTAACTCAAGCTTCATGCATTATTGCATTATTAAAGAGTTCTAAAATACATGTTGCACTATCAATTTTATTAATCCTGCAGAGGTACCAGGCAAATAAATGGTGTAAACGTTACTATAGAATCAATATGTTATGCTACTTAAGCGTATCATTTGTTTAGCACACAAGCTATATATACATATACATAGAGATCATTCAATAGATATCAAAACATTATTTTTTTCTCGAGAGCTAAAATAAGATTAATGCAAAGAAATACTAATGCTACATTACATGTATTAATTATTTACTTACAATACTGGGTTTAGCCTGTATGGGACAAACATGTATAAAATAATTTATACAACTAATTGATTTAGTAGGGATAACGTTGTAAATAAATTGTGCTTTCACTTACTTGAAAAGCTGAATATCTTCCAGCTTTTCGTGGCCTATTATACGAAGGAAGATAACGTCGGATTGGATCTAATTCATTAATATGTAACAAACCAGCTGTTAATAATTGTGCAATTATAAACATAGCTTGATTCCATAAATACATAGGTGCAGGTTCTGTATCTGTAGGACTTTTCTGCCCTCTTCCCTCGTTACTTGGCAATCGGTAGGTAGTACCAGGATCATTTCTTTCTGCTTCCAAACTATCCTCAGGTACATAGTAACACATAGGTATCACAGGATCTGTTTGATTGTAAAAAAATATGCTAGTGTTATATTATTAAAATTAATTCCATTTTATATAAATGTACCTCCATTTATGTCTTTATACATCCTTTCTTTCAACAAAGTTTGATATTCTTCAACTTGCTCTGGAAAGGTTTTAAAGACCCCATCAATGATCATGAAAATATAAAACAATGGCCATTCACATTCTATATTATCAAATTCCTATAACAAAAAATATTTTTTTCAGCATTATATTATTAGTATGATAAAAAATTAGTATTATTATATAAAGAGACTATAAATATAACAGATATATTTAAATGCATTTTCAATAGTAGTATATACTAACAATCAAATACATCAGAGACCTTGATTTCACCAGATTTATAATAACGACGACTTTTGTCCTCCAAGACTGTTTTATATCCATCTCTGCCGAATCTTTTAAATCCATAGTTGCCTTTTAATCTTCGAACTATATTAGCTTTTGTTTCATTATATAATACTTCCTCATGTGTTGCAAATGCAGGAAAAGATATTGTTGGTAATAAAGCTACATCTACACTCTAAATATTAATAATATAATTGTAGCAAAAGAATATATTTTCAAAATGTATAAAACATCTACATTATACGAATATTTTATACCTTAGAACTGGATTCTCTTGGAAGCATTGTTTCAAAAATGCTACGATTTCGATTATGTGCATCAATATCAACATATATTACTGACCAAGAAGCTCCTTTTTCTCCAAATAAATTACATCCATTAATAGCTTCTAGAGCACTTTTAGCTATACCAATTGAACTTGCATGTATTTCCGGCGTGCCGTCGTTATAACGACTACCTCGTTCCCACATACCATAATCTGGTGTACGATATGCTCTTTCTACATAATATACAAGATTTTGTATAAACGCGACTTCATCTTGAGTATAGATAATTTGTAATCCCGAAGAAATCATTTGTACCAAAAATATCAAATACAGAGAAACAATATCGATCTATAAGAAGTTAAAATTAAGTTATTTAGAACACATTAAGCAATTCAAAGTAGTACAAGTTATATTCTGCTCTATACTATAGCTACCTGCAAATGATTGTAGTCAGCATCTTGAAAAATCTCATCACCAGTATTCAAATGAAATTTACAATGCAAAGCAAAACGGTTGCACTGATTGCGTTTAAACAATTCTATTCTAGCAGATTGCTTTACCCAACATTCTAAAATTCCACGCATACATTTTACAGCTGATTGTCCAAGTTCATATGATTTTCCACGATCATCATCTATACGTCTATAACAATAATATTATGTACATTATTACTGTGCCAAATAACAAAAGAAAATTATTTAGTCAATTACCTGTATGCTTGATATAAGCTCCATATAGCTGCAGCACAATAAATACTTTCTCTGACACTTCCAGCTACTTTATCACTTGAAATTTGAGGGAAAAGACCTGTTATGCAACTTTGGTAGCGTAGCAATTGTCTCTTAACTAAAAATCATTTATTTAATAGGTATTCAATTTAATTTTAACATGTTATTAAAGTAGATATTCATACCAATTCCATAATAAATATCAAGTTGTCTGACGGTATCCTCATAATTTGATATTTTAAGAAACATATCAATGTCCAAATCAATAACACTACCCTGGCGTACATTTCTTGTTTGAGAGATTCTATAAAATAAATTTTAATTAACATAAGTTTAATACTTTAATACATTCTGAGATACTTTATCAAATATATCAAATTATATACTTTTTTGTAGGTGTCATTGTAAGAGATGCCATCTTATTCCCAGGAATTCTAACTTTCTTCTCAATTAATTTTATTAGTTTACAATGCACATAATCATATATTAATGAATATTATTATTTCATTGTTTAAAATTAATATCATTCTTTTTAAACAAAATATTGCCACATTAAAGCGGAACAAAATATTTATTGTGTCAAACTCTTTAAGGAATCATAAAGTAAACACATCCGAGGTAACTAGCAACTGAAGTACTAAAATCTTCTTCGGTAGTACGCGTTAACCTTGAATATGTTCTTTTCAGCCGTTATTTTCCTTAACTATAACTAAATCAGCTATATAATTAGCACATAAGGGAGTTATTCTACATACAATCTTTGATTTATAAATAGAAATCAGGAAACTGCTATTAACAGTGATCTTCTTAACCAATTTTAGAGTTACTTAATGTGACTAAAAGACGTCCAGTTTTTCAATTATACTTTTGTAATTTTATAATCATTATAAATAAAAATAAAAAATATTAACAAGTTTATGATATATGCAATATATATATTTTTACAGAAAAGTATACATCATTTACATAATATATGCATTATTACTATCAAATCGTAGTTTAAAATCTAAGTCTATATTTACTCATTCGGTTCAAATAAAATGTGAACTGTACTATGAAACATTTGATATATATTTTAATTTATATTTTCTATTTGCTCTGGGTATCTAAGGATAAGAATAGAAAAAATAGCATCCTATTATTTCCCTGCGTCTGCTTTCTAAATTTAATAATGAATTCAAAATTTAAAAAAAAATCAAATATTTAAAAATTTCAAAGTTGATAAATATAACAATGAAAAACCTTAAAGTTTGAAAGGTAAAACATTTGAAAGTTTTAAAAATCTGAAAGTTTTGAAGTCGGTAAATTTGAAAATTTGTAAGTTTGTCAGTTGGTAAATTTGAAAAACTAAAAATTTAAAAGTTCGAAAGTTGGTAAATTTGAAAATTTGAAAATTTATTTCATTCATTTGACGAACGAGTGGTGGGAATCTTTTTCCTCTACACCGCCATATTCTCTATATCGCGTTCGCCAGTATACCGTTTGATATCGCATATTTTTAATTTATATTTTTCAAATTGTCTATGTATATATGTGCGTTAACCATATCGAAATGTTTATTTATATGTCTGGTGGCAAACTAAAATGAGAACGTATCTAAATTTAAATCTGATCTATGCTCTAGTTTATTTAATAGTTTAAAGAAAACAAGCATTTAATTGTATCTATTACTATGAGTGATTGACCAATAAATTCAATTATTCTGACACAAATAATTTAATAAGTGAAAATCGACCTTAAAAAAATCATTGCAAATGTAGTTTGCGTTGCTCTGTTTTCTCGCGAAACATTCTTAGAATGTGTTACGGAACACGCGCGACGGTCGTGACAGAAAATTGAGTCAGTTCCGTAAGCAGAGTGCAAGAGGAGTTGTGTCTCTGTTCCGTTTCGAATTTTAAAGAGCTCTCGTATATGATGGCGTCCGCAAAAAGAAAGCAAGATGAAAAGAATTTAAAAATATTACGCGAGCTGGTCTCGCAACCCGGTAACAAAGAATGTTTCGACTGCCATCAGCGGGGTCCTACTTACGTCAACATGACAATCGGTTCATTTGTCTGTACCTCTTGTTCTGGTATGCTGTAAGTATTCGTTACCTGTAAGAAGCCAATAAAATGTATAGGGTCTTCTTCATCGTAAAAAATGACGTAACGATTATTTTACTCATCATTTATTTCAATCAAGAACGAGGCTAGCAAAATTGCATTTTTTCGCGCGTTGTTTAATGTTCAAAGGTTCATCATTAACATTGGATAAATGTCAACATTTCAGATACATTAGGCAATGCTCCAATATAAAGAAAAAATAAAGAGCCATTATTCATACATATAAATTGTAGATTTTGTTGGAACACGTACAATGAATATATTTTACTATTGGCTGATATAGATTATAAATTCACTGAACGTTTGTAGATGCAGTCAGGAAGTTAATATACTATCAGCATCAGTATTTTCTTTGTGCGTAGTAGTTGTTATCAACGGTCAAAATATAATACTCACAAGCAATAAAGAAACTCAGTAGCTAAAATCTATGAATGGTTTCGACATTGTAATACTTATTAAATACATGAAATCATTCAATGAAAAAAGTTGTTGTATATAGTGTTAATACATAGATGTTAACAGTAAATCATCCTTTATCTATATAATTAATACCTTTTATGACTAAATCTTTGAATTATAATGTTTAGCAGATAACACAAAATACAGTGTTCATTTAAACTACCAATAAGATTATATGTATTAAATGTAAGATTTTATTTATTTTGCCATAAGATTATCTAAAATATTAAGTCTACAATAAGTGTATATAAAATACAATTATCACTGCTTAAAGAAACCAATTAATAAATTAATTTTAACTTATTATTAAGCATTTTTATAAAGACATCAATGAATTATAAAGCTTATAATCAACGTACAAAAATAAAAAAATAACATATTAAGAAATTATTTTTATTTTAATACATACATCTGTAATAATGTAATATGTTAAAACTGTAATGAGAAAGTAAATAGTTATAATATAAAAGTTTTCATTTATTAATATAGGAATAAACATTTGTATCACTAGATTTGTTTAAAATTACAGGCGAGGCTTAACACCACCACATAGAGTAAAGTCTATTTCTATGGCTACATTTACACAAGAGGAAATAGATTTTATAAAGGAACGTGGTAATGAATATTGCAGAAGAATATGGTTAGGCTTGATGAATTCAAATTCTCCTCAAATCTTAGATACAAAAGATGAACAAAAAATGAAGGATCTGATGAGTGCAAAATATGAGCTTAAGAGATACTATTTAGATCCGTCCATGGCAAATCAAAACTCTAATCAAAAATCGCAGTCATCAAATCAAACCAACATTCCAAGGGTTCCACACTCTGGAACATCTACATTATCCTCTATAACCACTCAGAAAATAAACAACTCTGAGTCTGTGAATTCTAACAATTTTTCGACAGATTTTGTAGCTGATTTCAGTAAAGTTCCTGATCCATTTATTACTACTACAATGCCTACAAATAAACTCAGTCAACCGATTGTACCTCAGCCATTTTTTGCCAATTTCGACAACAATCCTGTTTTTAATAGTCCTAAAAATACAAGTAAATAAATAAGATGTTCTATTTTATATAAGTTTCGTTTTTATAATATAATATAATCTTAACAATTATATTTGTTCTGTTTAGATATTGAGTCATCAAGTCCTTTTAGTCAGACTACAGGAAATTCTAACACAATGAATGCAAATGGAACATATTTACCTCCATCTGAAGATCGTTATGCGGCACTTAAAGACTTAGATTCTTTAATGAAACAAACACAATTGAAAGATGATACTCCAACAACATTAAATACACCTACGTGGAACTCTAATAATGGTATATGCATAATTTGTGTTATTGAATTTTTAGTCTGTTATTTGCATTAGAAAAATTACTTTATTATTTTCCAGCTTCTAATTCAGTTTGGAATGTAGGAAATCAAACTACAAATGTAATTTCAAACCCTTTTGTAACTGGTGATTTATGGAGACCATCAGCTAATGTAGTTAATAATAATACACAATCGATTGATACCTCTCTATACAATCCTATCAATCCTTTTAAACCAGCGCAGTTTCCTATAAATAATGGTAAGTTTTCATTGAAGTGGTATTAAATGGTATATATATATATATATATACATATATGTACATATAAAGATTGACAGTAAACAAGATGATATTTCAGATCCACAATGGGTAGGTATTGGATCATCTAATAACAGAGATGTAATTCAATTTAGTCAATTAATGACAAATAAAGTGTGGCAACCAACTCTTCCAGCATATCATGCAAATCCTTTCATGGTATAGATATTATTTTTTGTATTATTTTTATTTTACATGTATAAAATACATTCAAGTACATACAAGCATTTTTAGGTCGGTTCTGGTGTGAGTAACATGACAAGAAATTCGAACAATCCTTTCTTATGATTAAGTAAGCATAAGCTTTTAATGGAATTACGAACAAATAATACAGAGCTAAAATATGTTTAGACTAGGGCAATTGTTTATATACGTGACCTTATTGGCAATTAGTGCCATTAACTTTTATCTCCAGGAGCACCAATCTCTTATTCATATAACTAAAATAATACCTTTATTTATGAATATGATATACACGTTAAATAAAGATTAATATTTGTTACCAATTATGTATTTTGCCTATTATAGTTATCCCTGTTTAATATAATTTTAATTTCATTTAAGTTTATTTTATTTGGTTTCTACACACGTTGATAAAGATACCAAGATGTTTGCTGTATAAAATCTTGTCCAATTTAATATGTAAATATATATAAAAATATACAAGAATAATACATACAGTAAATAAGGGATAGACAAAAAATGCATTTTACCTGATGCACACTTAAATACAGTTTATTTACTTAAAAATTTCTAATAAATACAAAATCACAAATGAACACTTAGTCTTTGTCATAATTCAATACCAATAGATTCAGAGTAGAGATCCATTTAACCGGTCGTAATTGCATGATAATTAACCGTTATTTGATCGTTACACTTGCAGTCTACATTATGTGTAGTTGTAAATATATTAATAATTGTAATAACATGGTCGGTCGTGTTTTACAATTACATATGGATATAAAGAGAAGCTTTGTGTGTCAACTAGTCAATTGTCGTATAGCTGCCGTACAAATGTTTTATTCGTCTTTCTTAGCTTTGTTCGCTAAATAGTATGGAAGCTCCAATGAATGGTAAGAATTGCTGGTGGTGGCAATTACTTAGAGTAATAAATTATTTACGCGTGTAAATGGACAAACAATCAAGAAACACTAATATATGAGTTCACCAATTATATTAATTGTTATGTATAAACATACGAGATGTGTGATATTGTGATATTACTAGGCAGGCGTCACGTATCTCAAAGATACATTCCAAAAAAGCGCATGGACTGTCTCATGGCACGAATTCACCTAGCAACCATTGCTACTGGGGTTGCCTTTTGGCAATGGGCGCACCAAGTATAACTTTTCACCTTGCTTGTTAGTATAAATAGGCGCTCGTTGATAATGGTCTACCAATTGGTCTAATGTATGGAATTTTCTTTGACCAATACAATATAACGCTCCTTCCACATGTACCCTAAAGTGCTTATTACGTCCTGGAGCTTTTAAAGATACTGAATAATCTCCCACCTGAAAAATACAATATTTTCAATATACAATTTGCATTTAAATACTTTAGATTGTTATATTATTAGTTATCATCAATAGTATAATTAAATCTATTTATGTTATTAACTAAATTATATTCATTTATACTTACATTTGTTTCACTATCTCTAATTAAAAAGTCACCATCATGACCATGTTGATTCAATAGTGTATCACATTGAGAACGTGAAATGCTACCATAGTACCAAGGTTTTCCAATAAGGTGTGGTCTATCGCCGGGGTCCGGCCTTCTTTCAAGAGAATCTCCTGTACTAATCTCACTGCTTGTCATTCCTCGTTCACGATATGGTTGCGTTAAATATTCGCTGAGTTCCTGAAGATAATTACGTGGTACAAGACCTATTTGTCCTTGACTATTCCTTGCTTTATACCATTCAGGATCTGCTGGTGGACGGTCAAGGATTTCCAAACGATCACCCTTTTCAAAAGATAGTTCCTGGTCATTGTTAGAAGAAAACGAATAAAGTGCCACAACAATATCAAGAACATTCTCTGCCATTGCATATGTGTGAAGAGTATCATCTGCATCTCCTTCTTCTTGAGTATAATTTGATGGGAACCAGCCTGCTTGTGTACCACTTTGACCTCTCCACCACCCATCATTACTTTTTTCTAATATTAAAATTCTAGTGCCTTTGACAAGTGATAACTCATCTGCTTGTTGTGCTTGATAATTGTATTTGACAACTGCTGTTCCTATCGCTTCACTTGGATCAGCAGGCAAACGCCTAGCCATAATAGGAGATTCCACAGCTCTAGATGGTGAGTTACTGGATGGAAGAGTTTTTGAACCAGAGCCCTTTTTGACTTTCTTTTTGATACTGTCAAAAAGGGATGGTTTTTCTTTTTTAACATAGTTACTTGGCACATAGCCAGCTTGACCTCTTGCACTTTGTACTCTCCACCAGTGTTTAGAATCATCAAGAAGTAAATAACGTTCATTTTTACGTAAATCTAACTCTTGAGCACCTTGTGCTCCATAATCATATTTGGCGACAACATAACATACGTCGTCCTGACTTGTCTTGCCTGAAAATTATTACAATTATATTTCTTCCAAATATAATTCTACACTAGCATCTTAATGACAGCAATGCATATTATAAATACAAAATATCTAATGGGTACTTAAATTTTATTAATGATAATTCTAACTTAAATTTAGAATGACTGCAATAGAACACTTTTAAATTCATAGAATGTAAATAATAAATTAGACAAATTGTGAAAACAAAATTTGAAAATTATTTGTTTTCTATTTAAGCATACCATGAATGTAAAACTGAGAACACATACAAACAAAAGCTTATGTAAGGAAATAATCACAACTGAAAGAAAAGACATATACTAAGATTTAGAAAATTTTCAATTTAACATAACAAAATCTACTAATAATATAATTATATAATACACTAATGGCACAGAACTATTGTACCACAGAGAAATTACTGTTCATTATTTTCAATCATAATTTCAGAAATATAGGTAATAAACAGAAAGAATTTAAGAACAGAAATTTGTACAGTTGTTTATCATATTAGAGATTATCATATTCTAAAATATGTAAGAATATATTATACTTTAAGAAGTATATATTTTTTAAAATGTCATTAGTAAAAACATGAATGGACAAATTTATTTATACTTATCTTTTACCATCTTTAACAATCATATTTAGTTAATGTAACATTTACTAATATAAATTGCATTTTAAATTTAAAAAATCTGTTAAAAAAGTAACACTGCAAGTTACTTTATTTAAACTATCATATATAATAGTTTAATATTTATTACAAATTGCAATTTATTAATTATACTGAAAGTTAAGAAACAACATATAGAATACAATATATTATTTCTAATTACTGAACTTTTCTGATAGCAAATTCATTTCTTATATTTTGAGGTTGATATCAAATACATACTTAAAATACATCATTCAGCAAAAACATATTTTCATTTTTTCTTGATAAACTATACTGATATGACTTTGGAAACAAATTTACATACAAAGCAAAGCATACAAGAATAAAACGTACCATGCTTCATGGCTGCCATGTGCGAAAACAGAGATATATGTCTGAGTGTGGCGTGAGTAGCTGCTACTCACGCACTACTTGCATAAATGTTAAGTCTGCTTGTTCTGTGTCGGCAGCGTAAGTGCAGCAGGCATTCATTCTTTAGCTTTTTGTTTAGTGTTGATATACCTGCTGATTTCTTTGCTCAGAGTCCATCGTTCTCAAGGGTAGGGCAAGCAAGTGCATTACCAACACTTTAGAGAAAATGAAATAATCATTAAAATGACATTATAAACATTGTAAAATAAATATCTTTAATGTATAGTAAAAGAGTATTATGTTATTACTTAATATTATTGTAAGTTACATAGTTATCCAACTCACAACAGTTTTGTTATTATCACTGTTAAAATTAATAAAGTGTTTATTCTTCAAGCAGCATAATAGGTATTAATTTATTAGTATGTTATAATCCTGTTAATATCATTAGTAAAATTATTAAATTAAAATTTTTAAATATATTTTTGCATTGTTTTGTAATGTACAAAGTTTGTTTAATGTAGAAGTTCCTACATTATAGCTATTGAACTATATTTTCACACGGCATAATCTTTTATATTTTTAAAATTATAAATATAAAACCTCAAAACAAATCATATATACAGAATACATAAAGACTCATGCAAACATTACTTCTCCTTAAGTGAAATAAAATTATTAATTATATTATAAAACTGATAAAATAATAATATATTTTTGTTTAATGAAAATGAAATGATGTTGAAATATATAATTTAAAATGTAAAATTATGTTTAAAACAGAAACTATCATAACTGTTTTGATTGATTGCGAAGGAAAAAAATATATTCAATATTATACTAACAAATATTTGAAATGAATTCTAAGAATCAATGTATTATCTTTTGCAACAAATTTTAAGTTATGGTACAGAACTGACAATGATTCTCGAAAAAAAAACTTCTTAAATAATGAAACTTATCTCAACATAGATTAACGATAAGTTGACATTCATGCTGACTCTAACGTATCATTATAACAAAAGTATTCAAACAATGTCTAAAATTTTAATGATTACTATAATCAAAGCTGAGATAAAATTTTCCCTATATATACTTTACAAACAATAACTATAGCAAGGAACTGATTTATAATACAAAAGAAGATAAAATACCATTCAACAAATTTCTTTGACTGAGAAAAATACCTAAAAAGCTTGTACCAAAAAGAAAAAAAACAAACACTGTAGTACTATTTTAACTACGGTTTATATTCTATAAAATTTGGCAAACGTCAGAAGCGACGACTCGATTAAACCGCGTACATCGTGAAATATTTACAATAAGTAATACAGCGTGTGGACGTAAAAGTCAGGAAACTATTTTCCGATCCCCTTCGCGCAAACCTTGAACAAGAATCGGCGACTTTCGAAGCACGTATATAGAGTACGTTCATTGCCTTCTTGCCTACCATACTACAAAAGCAAAGTAGAAGCGTGTTGGATGCAAAGGGGCAACAACTAGCGCGAGTCAATTCAGCCGCTCGTCTCATTATCCATGAAGTATGATAATTTATCACCTGATTATAGAAAAAAAAGCACTTAATATTAACTTACCGATTTTTAAACTTGACATATTCCTGCATACAAGCTTCGAAATTTTACGTCGTTACACAGCTTGTTTTCCCCCACCCCGGGCCGCAGCCATGAACGGGAGCGACTAGAGACTATAGGGGATTGAATCTTTATGGGGAATCGGGTCGAATGAAGGGGGGGCTTGGAAATTAGGGAAAGATATCACGAATTGTACAGAACTCCATGCACCAACAGGTTTTGTTCACTGTTACGTTGTCAATAAACACCACTCACAAAACTACGATGTTAGCACTTTTACCCACAATATTAATAGTCACATATACAATCAATGAGCAAATGAACTTGCGTGAATATTACAGTATTCTTTATTTGTTACACTTGGATTCGTTTGTACGACCCCTCCCGCAAAAAGAACAGACACACCCTTAATCCAAAGATGTTGAACGATCATGCGCGCCACTGACGAGAAGAGCCCCTGAAACGCGCTCCTCAGATTTTAATGTACTATTGCATGTTCTTATGAATCTCTTTACATAGAGTGTTTTAGATATAAAAGACTAAGAGTTTAAAACATACAATGTTCAAGTTTTTATATGACTTATTTATTCTATCGCAGTTTTCTGACAGTAAAAAAGACTATATTAGGACAGTCGACTAGGCACTAGATAACTTTCTTTTTGCGCGCGGATTCAAATCATTACAAATCAATTCTGAATTGTATTTTCTCTTTGAAACAGTTGTATAATTATGCAAAGAATACTACACGTTACATATTTAAATTTGGACGTAAAACGAAATTGCCCGTTCTTTTAATTTAAATGGATTATTAAATTTGGATAAATCTTATTAGCTTTTTAGCAACTTTAACATTATCTAGATTATCTTCTAACTATGTGTAAGGGAATACTGACGATCTTTACTACTACAAGTGCTCATCCATGTTTAAAAAAAGCACTTCGAAAGCTGTCCTTATAAGATTATCGCCTCTATGGGCTTATATCTATTGTTCATACCGTAAGATTATACTCATTAAACGGCGAGTTTTTGTTCGTTTTGCGCATGTTAGTTCTGGTTGGTCGTGTGCGATTTGTAACTAAGGGTAACACGCACGCGCATTTGCGATATTCGCACCGCCATGCGTGTATACCCAGTGATTTTTTATTTTGCATACTTCCTATATCATACATTTTTTTCCTTATTCATATATCTATGTCTACCATATATATGACAAACTGAATGAAAAGTGTATATGATACTAACATGACAGTATTGAATGGTGGGAAATCTATTGAAGTTAGCCAAGTTGCGCGAATTAGGTATGATCTACTATGAAACGAATGACAAAACGATATTAGCGCCATGGTATTAGAATGAATGAATGACAATGTTATTATTTATTGTTTGGAATGTTTTCATTTGTTGATTTGCTCTGTATTGTTTTTACTTCATTATGATAATGAGATGGAAATGACAAATCATTTAATAATGGTACGTTTTTTGCAAAGTACATTCCCAAACAGTTATGCTCTTTCCACAAACACGTACAGGTTCTAAGTTCTACGTTCAACAAGATTTGCAAGTGATTATGGCTACCAGCGTGTGTACTGACGTATACGTATGGTAGTATTCGAAAGTATGATGTCAAATGACATTTAAGCAAATAGAAACGTATGTTGTATACCATTAATATGTGATATTCAATCTACTTTTATCAAATGACTGTAAGTTAATTACTTTGAGTGTACAGAATCATTTTACAGAATGAAACATAATAAATATATTTTGTAAAAATGATATCTTTTATCAGAACTGATAGTAAGAATGGATTAACATAACTTACTAAAATTGTTATTTATTGTTGTATATATGTGTTTTTATAATATGTTATATTTGATGAACAAAAGTCTTGCCCCAATTATATATTAGATTTTTATGTAATTTGGGACAATGGATAATCTATCAGATTCATTCAGAGGTGAATTAGACTCTGTTACATCAACAGATTCTCTGCAATTAGTGGCAGATGAGTTCTCTATTAGACATTTATCGACACCTGATGTTTCAAACATAGAGTTGTCAAAGCGTGTTGCATTATTGGAATTAGAAAATGAACGTCTTAGAATGGATTTAGAAAATATGCGCATAGAACTCAATGCTAGAATTGCAGCTAATGAAGGTCTTAAAGGAAAAATAACTGAATTGTATGTAGAAATGCAATTGGTACTTCAAGAAAAACAAAAACTGCAAAATACTCTAACGGATGTGAATAATCGTTTAGATGCATCACAAGCATCTGCAAAATGGTATCAGTCTCAAGTATATGGTTTACAAGCAAGCAAAAAAACTCTGCAATTAGAAGTTGATACTTATCAAGGAATACTGCAACAGAGGCAACAAACTATAGCAAATATAAATGCTAGGTATAAACAACTTAATATGGATTATACTGACCTTCTTCAAAAGCATCAGAAAGAAAAACAGAATTTGCAACATGAAGTACAAAATTTAAAAATGCAGAACCAATCAAATAATGTTTCAGAATCATTAGATATGAATACAATATCTAATTCCCCTGATGTATCTACAAAATTAGAATTAACAGAAGATGAATTGCGAAATACAAAAGCAGAATTAAAAACATTGGAAAAGCGACTTTTAGGTAATGAAGTTTCCAAGACATTAATGGAAAATACATTGACTAAACAGAGAATATTGATTACAACTATGGAAGGAAATATACAAAGATGTGAAACAGAAAAAAATCAAACTGCTGATTCTTTACGTAAAACACAGCTTGAAATTCAGAAGTTACATTCTGAAAATGAAGTATTGCAGACTACTCTACTTTCTTCCAAACAGGAACAAAGTCAGATAGAAGATGCAATCTTTCAATTGCGATTACAGCTAACAAAGATGATTGAGCAGTATAAGCTCCTAAAATCAAAAAATACAGAAGCAGAAGAAAAATTAAATTCAATGCAAGATGTAATAAATGAAAATAAGCGATTAAAGACGTTATCATATGAAGCTAATAGTGCTCTTATTAGAAAAATTCGACAGGAAAAACGCAAAGTTAAGCATTTGGAAAATAAGCTTCATAGTATTCAAATTACGGGACATTTAAGCAATATGGTATTGTAAACAATTGTATTAAATGTGTTAGAAAATGAAGAAGTTCATTGGAGAAATTATGTAAAATTTTTGTATAATTACTTTGTTTCAGAAAAGCAAGATGGAGGTTTCCTTACAAGAGTGCCTCAAACAGGTTTTAATGAGAAACAAAGTAATGTTTATAATTATTTATTTTTCTTTTTGTAATGTAATGCAATGTAATGTTAAAAATGCTTTTATTTTACAGGATTTAAAAGATCAATTGAAGGCACTTACAAAAAATTCAGATGAAAGTATTGATGAAGGATATGGTGATAGCAGTATTGTTAGTTCTGTTTCTATAGACATTCCATCTCCAAGTTCCATTAATCCAGTATTATTAAATACAGCTTCCAGTGTACTGCTACAGTGTAAGGATTTCTGTAAACCAGTACAAACAGAACTTGACCATCTACGATTAAAACTTAATAAGTTAAAAGAATGCACCATATAGTATTAAATTAATTTATTAAACAAATATTTAAATAAAATGCGTATTATTAGAAATTATGCAATATAAAATACATAAAAAGTGGTGACTGGATATTAAACTAAATGGTCATAAGGTTGACTAAATTGTAAATACATTAACTTATGATAAATCTTAAGATTGCTACAATTATAAACAAAATAAATTCAGAATTTGTTTATAAAAAGTTTTATTAAAATTGAACTTAAATATACAGTCTTAATCCGTAAAACGGCAATACTGTGCTGTAATTATGAGAATATGTTAATGAAAACAACCAATTATTTCGTTATTTGTTGAATATTTTTAAGATATTAATCTTGAAAAAAGAATTGTAAATAAAAACGATATATTAACTAACTACAATTACATTTTTATATTATACATCTTAATTGTTAGTATTCCTAACAAATTTGTAATTAAAAAAAAATTATGTAAACTGTTTTACAGGTACAATATAGTGTTTACATCATATAATATCAGAATGAGTGTAAATATTTCGTAAAAGTTTACAGTAAATATGAGATATACATATAGCGAATAATAGTCATTTAACAGAAGTGTCGGTTATTTGAATTTACAAGAAATATTTATTTAAATTTAATGTAATTTGTTGCAATAACTACTTACACCTACTATGTAAATATTAATACTTTACGCAAATTCTTTTTTAATGAATGGAACAACAGATACAAGTAACATAGTTGTACAAGCAGAAAAACTGAAATTTATCGTTATTTTTTCAACATTTATGATACGGTATATAATATGGGAGCATGTTATTCAATGTCTTCAAATTAGCAATTCTTCCAAAGCCTTTTCAATATATTGGATATAAGTGCTAATAAAATCCAGGATTCCTAAAAATGGGAGTTGAACATGTTTTCAAATTGTAATATTTTATTAAACAATTCATAACACATTTTACACTAATAATTTTAAAACCACTCTAAAGACTACTGTTACAATTAAGTCTATTTCAAATTTGTCGTACATTGCAATTTTATTTATGAGAAAAATTATTTATTGAATTTTGTACTTGCTTATTATTAGTGTTATTTAAAACATTCATTTCTTGTTGTCAGAAAATATTTTTAGTAACATTAGTAAGAAATAAATATCAAGACTGCAAAGTTTTTATAGTTACAAACACTCAACAAATTCTGTTTTTAATTTTTGGTGTAATTGTTCATATATATATGTACATATTTATAAAATAAGCGTAATTAAAATTGAATTATAGCTTCTTTTTAAAGTATCACAGATAAATATATCAAACGAAATAAAAAAAAAGTAGTTTCTTGTATTTAAAATGCATTTAATTTAATTAAATACAAGTTCTTTGGTATACATAAAGAACAATCGATATAAAATTAAAATAATATTACCAAATAAATAGACAAACATTATTTAGAACAGTTCTCGAGTATTTTTAATAATCAGTTTAATTTTTCACCTTTTAAAAGATATACAAAAAGTTTTAATTTGGAACATTGAACGTCTGAGTATTTATTCAATATAATGATATTAAATTAAATTGTACAATAAATTAAATGTAATACAATATAAAAACATAAATAAAGCGATAGATTTTTTATCATGTTCTAATTATAAATTAGAACATTTTTTATTATTTAAACGATATTAAAATATTGCTTTCAATTAAAAAAAAATATCATTTAAAACAAATATATAAAATAATTATTTTACTTTTCTGAAAAATATTTACTACCCTATATTTATGGACAGTGATAATTTCAGTAATACATAAATGATAACGTAATAAATTTATCATTATCATACTAAATAACTTACTTCACGATAAAATTAATGTTTAAGCTTATCGGTATTGGAATGATTTAATATTTTTCATCTTTCTCAATTTTTTCTAGTTTTATCCTACTACCCTTTTGTATCACAATAACGAGGAAAATTTGTTATCCTTTAAAAGAATATTCTTCATTACATGATAATGAATTATTTCATGAGCAAAAATAAAATAAAGAAAGCAAAATATTTTTCTTAACAATATAACTAAATAGCAAAAATTAAAAACTTAATTAAATTTGTTGAATATAAATATTATATATACAAAAAGCGATACTTTGCAAATTAATATGTAACGTTTTTTTGTATTTTTTTTAATAGCGTTTACTCAGAAGTAGTGGTTATTTTATGCATTAAACCAAAATTCTCAACTCTTGAAAGGTATATTTCATATGTTAAACTTGTAATATAATAGAATTACATATTTTTCTAAAGATTTACATTGCTTCAGAATGTATGTATAGAGCAAAAATTAAATTTTTGATTCCTTTAAAAGGAATATATAAATATTTGTTTAAACACTGATCCATGTCTGCTCTGTTATACATCGCGATCTAAGATATTGTTGATAAATTTTACGTGTAAAAATAAATAGTGCACATTGAGAAACGCATTTGAAAATGGTTGTAAAAGTTGCATAATACATAATACGATACATGTTACTTTCACGATACTTTATCATTAATTAATTTTAAATCACCGGTATAAAATATTTTTCTTATAACATTTTGATTGCGCATTTTTTTTCATGTTTTTGGTTCATAATTTGCTACAGTACTTACAGTTTTGTATACATATTTATATTAACAAAAAAAATTAACTTTGTACGATTGCAGATCGTTTAAAAGAGCACCATGGCTTCAGTCTACACAAACAGTCCTTCAAAATTTCAACATATCCCATCTTATACACCGTTACAAGGGGAATGTTGCTGAACAATAATACCTATAATTTTATCATGTAAAAGTAATTTGAAATTAGACAGTTATTATATAATACATTCATAATTATGCTACTAATGCTAATCATATTATATATATTTAGTAAAATAGGAGACCAGACAGTAAACAGTTTATCTCGAACCCATTGTCATCTGGGAGTAGATTCCGTCTGCCTAACTTTGTCAAATTGGCGTCGATAATGAGCTCGTCCACGACCTCTATTTCGATGTCCATGATTATTATGTCCATGATTATTATGTCCATGATAACTATGATGTAATTGTGCATGATTTCGTGTTTGATGTGAAGATTGCTTTGTCTGCGGCATTTGCTGAGGAAAATATTTTATTAATAACATATTTTATAACTATATATAGTTTTTTTATAACTACATATATTTTTCTAAGAAAAATTTATTTCAATGTCAGAAATATATAAACATACCATATGATTAACAGATTGCATATTTTGATTGGAATATGCATTTAAACTGGTTCCAGGTGGATTAAGTCCTTCAGTTGTAGCACCAGGTTCATCTTCTGTTCTTACCAACATTTTTACTCCTTCAGCTTCCAAATCAATTATACCACCCCTTTGTTGCTGCCTTAAAAATAATGCTGCCATTTGTTTTTGCAGTTCTCTTAATTCTGCAGTGACTGAAAAATCAGTTGCAGCTTCAACATCTATTGGCGGTGGAGCAGACCACAAACTTTCTACATCACAATTGATTGATTCTCGACATACAGGACATATAGCCTGAAAAATGTATTGGTATGAATGTATTACAACTAATCAATTGTTATAACTACTGAAAATGTACTTAGTTTTAATAGACATGATAATAATAGGAAGTATAAAATAGTAAAATAGTAAAAGATAAAATAATATACCTGAAATTTATTAGTAGTATCTTGTTGCCACTGTGGCAATTTTTCTTGTTCCTCTCTATAATATCGTTCTGCAGCAGCTACATGTGCTGCTAAACAATGTGAATGAAAATAATGATAACATTCTGTTTTTGTAAATTCATCTCCTTCTCGAAAACCATACAAGCATATGGCACACTGATCCGTTGGAAGATTACTTCTTGTAAGATGTTCCCTTATTAACTGTTTATCATACAATTAGTTTGATATTTGCACACCAGAATATTTAGCAAATAAATTTATTTATGTATAAGACATACCTCAATGAGTTCAAACATAACTGGTTGGCCTATGAAATCTTTACATTTTGCTTCTGCATCTGATTGCATAAGCCTCACTGTATTTTCGTCTAATCCTCTAGGATTCCTAAGACTAATAGTAGGTGGTATATCTGGATATCCAATAGGTAATTGAACAATTAATGTTACACAAACATATTGAGATTGGGAATCTTCTCCAGTAGATGGAAATAACACAGTTTCAATACATTCTGGTTCACCTCTAGAAAAAGAAAAATGTTTTTCATAACATAATTATATGAAAAGATTAATTTATTATCATCACAAATAATATATTAAAATATTTATTATAAGTATATCTTCAATGTAATTAGTAGATACACATTTAATATTAATTAATTATAAATTAAATATAATTTTTAACATGTTATTCTAAATGTTTACAGACTTTAAAATGTTCATATATTTACAATTCAAATATATATCTTTACCTTTAACAGTTATGTTAAGATACTTGTAAATGACAAATCTTTAATCTATTTAGATAGATTTTTATCTGATTTATTCGAGTATTGTATTTAATACTTTGCTCTCTTCAAAAAAATAAAATGTAAGACTTTACAAAGATAATTTAATTCAAGAATTATGTTAATGACAGAAAATTTGCAACAATTGATTCAGATTAGTTGCTAGGTTAAAAGCAATAGATTTATTCGCGAAAAGAACTTACCTTTCGTTTTCTTTTATATTTAATTCATCGTCAAGTAGAATAGCCTTTAATGCCTCAATTTCGTCAGTCACTCTGTGTAAAATGTTCATATCTATTAAAAAGAATCGAAAATCTACGAAAAATACTAAGTATAGAATCTTACAAAAATTACCTCTCATCTATTGCTGTGTCTGACATCGTTCTTGAAACAAATAATACTTCCAATTTGTCTCGCGAAAATTATTTCGAATTTGACAGAATTTTTTCAGTCTTCAACGATTACAAGATTCTCGATAAGCGTCAATGTGCGTCAATATTGAAAACCTTCTGCTACTATTACTGTTACCAACCGGATCGCTTTGGAATTATTGGTAATATTATTGCTATTGTTACTGTTGCGTTTACCGTTCGCGGTCTAGGGATTTTGGGATGTGGGTAAGTTAACCCGTGGAGCGCTGAGCGCTCTGCTCGCGGTGTGTAGAAATGATTCGAAACAGATTTAAGATGGAAAACGACTAAGTCCAACTATTTATTCAGATAATTGTCAAAGTACTTTTTATAAGAGCGAACTGGAGCGTATGAAATACAAAATTAGTCTGATCGTTCTGCGCTTGGCGGAGGAGATCTTCGGGTGATGCGGATCGATGCCCCTTCCTCGCTGAATCCTGGATCCTCCCTCAGGATCATCCCTTGTCCAATGGTGGAGGAGTCCACCCC